CTGTTTGCTGATCAAACAAGACGGCTTTCAACTTGGATATTGATATTTTGTGTCTTGTTGACCTTTTCTTAGGGTTTTGACTGGAAGCAGCTGCTTCCTCATGGTGTCTAGTAGCACCATCTTCCAAACTGTCAGCTCTGATTTTAGTGCCGATAATAAGGTGAAAAGAAGACGGTGCTTTTACATTGCTTGTAAATAAGTCATGGTTAAATTGAATAGGTGGGGTTGAGTGTCTGCAGTGATGTGGGTGTTATTCTATTCTGTTGTGGTTAAGTAGGTGCTGAGCAAAAGCTGAAGCTCCAGACTTATTGATCAATCAGTGCGTCAACCCATACCGTTCACGATAGAAAGGGCAAGACTGAAAACAGCATTCTTTGAAGACTAATGGTTTTTAAATCTTAGAGTAGCTCAGAGTAGAGTCTCTGCTCCTCCTAATTGGATGATGAAGACAGGAATTTTGCGATATTTAGATAGAGAAAATAGTTATGGGAAATAAAAATGAACTTATGATTAATTATCAGTGCATAGTTCTTTAGAATAATATTTGTTTTAGCTTGAGTAATTGATAACGTCAGCTTCTAGGAAATTTCTTTCAGTGTTGTCATTTTGACACAGTCCACTAGAGGGTGCTACTGTCCATTCATGAGCTGAGGTTCACTGGTATTTGCAAGAGAAGTAATGCCAGGGCGGAGGCATGTTGGAACAGAAATCGATACGGAGTCTGGTCTGGGATTATTTCCAGTTTTCAATGGCTAAAATTATGCAGAATGGACTTTATGTGGTTCCGTTATGCTAGCGCTGCAACTAACAATTATTTTGCAAATCTAATAAACTGTCAATTATTATTAATAGATTACTAATCGGATAGCCAAATCTTCCTTAAAGAAGGCTTTTTGCAAAATTAAACCAGCTGAAACTAAAACTTTTCCACTTGAGTTCTGGATAGATCATATTGACAGACGATCATATTTTTTTTTTTTTTATTTGAAATGCAAAATATTTACAGATTTATTTTTACTATTTTGGTAAAATTCCTGCTCAAGGTGGGTCGCTCTGTCAGCTAAAGGCATGTTTTATAAGCTCTATAATCTCTTTCAGCCCTAATATTTACACACTAGATAAAGTCCTTCATCCATAGCCTAAATAGTGCTCGTTTAGCCGTGCTGGACGCCACGCAGCGTAACTTCTCTGTTGTGCTTGGAAGTTGAGGATGTAATGATAGAGAAGTGAAGGGCATTACGCAACACGTTTGTAAAATTATAGAATAAAACCTGTTGCCATTAGGCAAAGGTAGATAGGAATAATTTTGTGAGTTAACAAAATCAACAAAGCCAAGCTTTAACTTTCCTCTGAGAGGAAGCAGAAACCCCATTTAAAGCACTTCTAATACCACATAGTCGCTTTCAACGCTGATTGCCGGATTACTCTGAACAACGGAGACCTCTTAACACAGTTGGCGTTCCCTTCAGTAAAAAAAAAGTGGCAAAATATTCTGACACCATGTCAGAGTGACATACCCTGTTATTTAATTATGGTTTTATATCTATTTTTTTAATTGGTAACCTAATATGTTCCTGTTTTCGTTTCTTTCACTTATATCTCATGTTTTATAATGTGTAAGAAAATATTTTTGTGTTTATTAAGTCCGCATTTAAAATTGAATATATTATTTGCTTTAGATTTTTTTTTTTTCCAACAGCCTTTATGTTTTGGAAAGAATGAATGGCCAGCAAGCCGCTCACACTGAGCCTGGTTCTGCTGGAGGTTTCTTCCTGTTAAAAGGGAGTTTTCCTCTCCACTGTCACTATAAGTATGCTTGGTGATTACATTTGGGTCAATGAGTTGATGCAATTAGCTGGTTTTCCTTAGATGGAAAACTTTGAACCAATCTGACTGTATGATCCGCTTGAATTGTCTCTGTAAAGTGCCTTGAAATGATCTGTGTTGTAAATTGGCGCTATATAAATAAAGTGAATTGATGAATGTAGCTTGAAGCTACCTGGGCCTCCTGCAGAACCACGGGCTGATTGCCTCAATTCATCGCTGCATTTGTATAGTCCTAAAAACCAAAGGAGCTCCAACCAAGAGTTGATTGGATAGAAATTAAGAAGCCTGAATTTTCTAGTTAAACATCAATATTCATCTTGGATTTTATGTAACAACCTAATTTTCTAAGACAAAGATCTAAAAGTGATCATTTTCTGTAAGATATAATAATCAAATCAAGTAAAAAAGGCTTCAAACTTTTACTCTGAATCTCTATAATACACACCTTTCACTTTCTGTAATGAATGACAAAAAATATTGACCTTTTTTGCGGCATTTGAACTGTTTGCGCTTTACTTATTGATACTGTTTTTTAAATATGATGACTGTTTATGGGAAACATCTCAACAGACAAACTGAGGGACATAGGAATGGATTCATGTAGGAGTTAGTCAATTATATTAACACCATCCTTAGACTCACAGCCTTCAATATTTTATATATCACTTTTTTTTCTTTTCGCATACATGACAAAATACTCTTATTTCGAGCTAAAAGCTGGATTTAATTCGCTTGTTTTATTGTTGTTTTTTTAACACATACATGTTCAATATGGAGACACATTTCAAAAATGTCTGACATCTCAACTTAGTAAAACTGTTCGTCCGGCTGATAAAATTTCTCTTATCAATATTAAAAAGTCCCCCTGTTCTGTTGAACTATCTGAGGTTGGATTAAATGGCTGTCATGGATTCTCAGGCATCTCTTAATCCAAACAGACTCAAATGGGGATCAGAAAAGGAGGGATGTGTCTCTCTTTTTAAGAAAACTCTCTGTGGGAGCAATTACACAGGACCTTCTCTTCCTGTCATAAAATATTAATTGTTCAGGTTGGCTTCTCATCCCCAGGATATCATGGAGATTCTGTATTTTTTTAAATATTTATTTAACTCTTAAATTTGATTACATTGACTGTAGGTGTATTCCCCTCTAGATGACTCATTTTAATATGTTATTGTTGACCTAATTTTAGCAAACCAGGCAATGTCAAACTTGGACACAGATGGGCAAAGGGTTTGGAGTTCAGTCCAAATCCTGTTGGTCTTGGATGCTTCTGTTTAACTGGTCTGTCTTTGAGATCGATTGGAGGTTTTTTTCTAGAGCAGCTAATTCCCATTTGGCTCTCAAATACTTTGCAGTAAATTAATCAAAAAAGGAATCAATATTTATCCAATTTATAGGAGACTTTTAATTTAGGAGAAAGTAAACAAACTTTTTTAAACTAGTGCAGGCTGACTATTCTCTTTTTTTATTATATAAACTCTCATTTATTGTATAGCATTTTATTTAACTGCCAAGAAAAGATTTCCTGTTTCCTAAGCAGATGCTCTTGTCTGTTTGTGACAGCATACGAAAATAGATCTCTGGTTTTCCCAGGTAAAACACACAAAACCTGCGTAATCATCTGTGTATATTTCTCATAGTTTAAAAATAAGATCAAACTTAAAAGACATGAGGTAAAAAATAAAACCCCGGTTTGTGGAAACGATGTATGTAGGCCAATAACCCATGCAACACATATGGCCATCCTCTCTACATCCTCTTTTGTAACATGTTAGGTCTCAGTAGTTTAGTTTTTTAGTAGAAAGTTACTTTTAGAATTTCCTATTTATTGAATCCAGCATCAAAATTATTTCTGTATGTTTCTGGCTTATTCTAAAACTTCTTCATTAGTGTAGTAAAACATCTTTGTCCTGCAGTGAGGAGCAGATCATCAGTAAGATATTTGCTTATGCATCCAACATATATGCTTCAGAACTCTCTTTTGTTTTCTAATTGATTTTGCCAACATACAGTATTATTAACCAGGTAATTTTGCACACATGTTAATACTAGTGTTGCACCGATACCGATACCAGTATCGGACGGGGCCCCGATACTGCCCTAAAATGGTGATATCAATATCGGCGAGTACCAACAAATAGGGCACCGATACCTTTTTGAGAGCCATAAGTTTATTCAACTATTGTCACCCATTCCAGGTAGACAATAAAAAGTTCTAATGGATTCACTTTGTATTAGATTTTTTCCTGCTTCGCAAAGGTAGGCAGCAGCTTGACAAAGCCATGATGGCAATTATTTTACATTATTATGGTATCGGTATCGGCCGATACTGCACAGCCAGGAATCGGGTATCGGTATCGGGGCCAAAAAATGGCATCGGCGCAACACTAGTTAATACTCATGTTTACATTCTCCTTTCACTTCCTGTTATGCTCCGTTTGCTGTTAGTGTATAATGTATAAAACCAGTAAAATTAACCTAAAATTGAATCTCTGAAGTGGCAAAATGTGAAGAAACATTTGAACTGTTCTGGCTTCTGTCAGTTGCTGGATTAAGAAATCCTGTATTTTAGACAATTAATCCCACAACGGTGCAATATCTGTAGGAAAACAATGTAACCTTGACATGCATTAATAATATATTTGTCTATTTGCTAACGAATAACCCACCTTGAAAAGTTAGACCAATTTAATTTGTTTGAAGTATTTATGCATTTCTTATTTATTTTCCTTTTGGTCCAGCGTTTTATTACCACTGTCACAAGTACAGAGCAACAAAATTTACCCTCTGCATTTAACCCATCCCCTTGGGGAGCAGTGGGCTGCCATTTGCGGCACCTGTGGAGCAGTGTGGGGGTTAAGGGTCTTTTTGCTTAGGGACCCAGAGTGGCAGTCTGTGGGAGTGGGTTTCGAACTCACATCCTCAGGATTCCAAGATATATGCTCTAACCTCTAGGCCACCACTCCCCCATTTTATGTCTATAATTAAAACATTTCCTGATATTTGGCCATAAAATTGATGCGTGGAACATATCAGATCTAAAAATATTCACCGATTCCAGGGATTTGTTTAATTTCATTAAAGCTTCTCTAGTTCATGACCCTCTTCATTGTGTTCATTTTACCTGAACCCTTGATCTCATCACCTTTTTCTGTCTTTGCTGTTTTCAGACGGTGGACATCCACAAGGAGAAGGTAGCCAGGCGGGAGATCGGGATCTTGACCACCAACAAAAACACAGCAAGGACTCATAAGATCATCGCTCCATCTAATGTAGAGCGGCCCGTCAGGTACATCAGGAAACCTATAGACTACAACGTCCTGGACGATGTTGGCCATGGAGTGAAGGTGAGCACGTTTCAGGCTTGCTTTAATGTTGCTAGGTTCTTTAAGATGCAAGATTTCTCACCAGTTAGGCTGTTGGTTCAGGTCCGACTTTTCCTTCTTTTCCCCCCCCCCACTTTTTTTTCTCCTTTTAAAGTTTTGCTTCAAAGTCAACCTGGTGCCGTGTCACAAAAAAACGGTAGCTCAATGTTCCATCCTTGACATCAAGACCTTTTTCTAGACTTGATGAGTGTTTTGTATTACTGAGGGGTTTTTAGTTCATTCGTCTTTGCTAAACCGTTTGACAACATCCAAACTGGAGGGTTTTTATTTAGCATGTTTGGCCTGTCAAACATCATGCCGACCAGTTTGAAGCCAGAACATTGACTATGTCGCTACAAAACATTCATTTCATTATACTGAGCCATTCCTGTTGGATTTTGGTTGATTTGCAATAAAACCAAAGTGTGGTTGGAATCAAGTTCCTAAAGTGAACATCAGATTCTCCATCTGGATTTTCTGCCAGAGGGTAGGATTGATGTGTTCATCATGATGGTCGTAAATAAACCATCGCCCAGGGTTAACAAGGTATCACTGGAAATGTGATGCTGCTCCCTTATTTACTCTTTTTGGTCAGCAGTGTTTATTGTCTTGGAACCCAGTCACCCACCCCAGTCGATTTTGCTTTTGCACACTCATTGTTGAAGCATTAAATGTGATCTTAACTGAAGCAAGTGGCACCTGCTGCTTTTCAGACACTGGGTTTCTTTCAGTGACCTACTGGGAGAGTCATGGATGAGCTTTTGGAATAACTGTCCGTCTGCAGGAACGTTCGCCACTGATCCGTCTCCATGGTTCACTGGAGTCCCAACCCTCCCAGTACTTTCATACCGGACTTTTAGAGAGATTTTTACTGTGCCAGAATCTGGTTTCTGGAACTGCTCAAGCTGGTGTGGCCTGTACTCACACTCTAAAAGGAACCAGAAAGCCGTACCTTGTCATTGTTAGATCGGCCAGTCTAACATTTTAACTGTTGCAATTTGATTGTATTGAGAATGTGTGCCTGGTCCAGGTGCCAAAAAGTGTGACTTAAGTGAAGCGCATTTGTTTAGAAGATAAGGAGGATATACAAAGTAAGATATTTCTTAGTTGATTGAGTTTGTGCTAAGTTCACACCACATGCTATTGAAGCAGCTGGTTTACATGCAAAGTCAATGGTTGTTGCACATCAAGGCACATCAAAAGGCCCTGCAGCGCATCTTGACGCATCTGAGCAGCGAAGCAGCTCCTCATGGGCTTCTGAGCATTTGAGGTGTGTGACGCGCCCACAAGGAGCAGCTGCTGGAGTTGGAAAAATTGAACTTTTGCTGATCGACGCACCACATTAACCAATCAGAAAAGCTGAACTGCAAGATTGCAGGAAGATACAGCACTGCTGATACAGAGCGCTATAATTACTGTTGCAAACGGTTTATTAAGCCTTAATTGACTTAAAATATCAGAACCTGCTGGTAAAATATGTTTGCATTTATTATTCTGTAGCCTTTTGTACCACATACCTAAGAGACATTAACTTCTACTTCCTGCCACTACAAACTGTAGCAGAAACCCCCCAGTTGCTGAAGATTCCCAGTGACAGTGCATTGATGGTATGTGGGGGTCTGTGCAGCTCTGACAGCTCAATACTTTAAGCCAGGACCGTTATCTTGATGAACTGACTGCACAGGCGTTGTTTTCAGGTGGACTTTATTGCTTAAAAATCTATTAAAACTACTTTTTACCAACTTATCACAGCAAATATTGCAAAGCCGCTCTCTGCCATTGAACTCAGGAGCAGCAGAAGCTTTGGACATATCTGAACACGCTTTACTGGATGCGCTTCAGGAGCATCAAGTCAATGCTCTTGACTTTAGGCGCATCTGACCTCTATGTGTACAAGCATCAAAAACGAAGCAGCAGGCGCTGTTTTGCTTTCCAAAGCACGTTCGGTGTGAATGTAACATAATGTCAGGTTATTTTTGGTAGGTTGAACAGTTTTTTTGTTAATATATTCATTTCTAACATTGTAGGGTGACAAAAAAGAATCAGAATAGCTTTGCACTTGGGTGGGTGGAGATGAACTGTGAAGGGATTACATCATACGGCTTCCAGAAAATGGCTCAGTTTTCAGAGCTTTATGAAAATGGTTATAGAGACAAATATGTGAGATTTTTGAAAGCACTTAGGCTCTCATAATCTTGTTGTAGAGTTGTTTGGATATCAGTCCGCTTGATCTAAAATGTAGGCAAGAAGCTTTTTGATGAGATAAACCTCTCTCCCATTAGGGTGGTCTGTTGGGGTCATTAGTTTACCCCGTCAGTGACATAATTCCCAATTTTTCCCGCGTCTGTCCAGTCTCTTGAGTGTCGTCTGCCCCATCAGTCAGACAATCAATGGCAGCCATCACATAAATTCGATTAACAACCGGCCACAGTTTCATTCTTGGGCTACAGAGTTACTCATGTCTGATAAAGAACAAGCACAAAAACAAGAACTATTAAATCTGTGATCCTTAAAACATTATTTTAATATTCTCTGGAATTTTCTTGCACGCTTTTAATGAATGGTTAACATTATTTAAGGATGATTAAATAGTTGTTTAGCAGTGACTTACAACAAATGTTTTGTCTTAGTAATGCCTCGATCCGCTTAAAGGCCGAAATCCAGTTAATATATCCAGAAATTTACCTTTGACCTTTTTGTCCTACATAGAAAATCTGATCTCATACCAGGAGGATCACTGTAGTATAAACTAAAATAAACACACGTTAAACCGGGTGTAATCTCTCTGGATTTTCTCATGCACGCTGCTGCTGAAATGCTAGATTTCATTAGCTTGTGTGTGGAAACACAAACGGCCTCACATGTTGCTGCTGTGGTCTTCATGATAAAACACCTCCTGGTCTGTTTACGTCACCCTCCAAAGAGCCAATCAATACACAATGCCAGTACTCCGTATTAGTTCATGTTGCATGCAGGGCTTTCAGTGTCGACGCACTTTACTTACCGGCCAGAATCAATGATGTGGAGGCGGGGGTTGTTTAATCATGTTTACAGGCTTCGGTTTATGGCTAACCTTACTACATCTGCCCCAGGGTGGATTTTGGCCTAAAAGTTGGCAGAAGGTCCTGTGATCCGATTCAGAAATTAAAGGGGCAACAAAACAGGAACATCAGGGGAAGGGAGTATAAAGCTTGAGAGTGCTGTCATCTTTAAGGCGCTCTGTCGGTGACGTAATGTGATTTATGCCTCCCGTCAGATTATGTTTAATCTAGTCAGCAAGGCATTCAGGAATCCAGCTGTGATGACGTCAAGGTTTTACAATTAGACATCAGATGTTCCCTGCGTAACAAAATCCCCCGAATGAAGTGAATCAGTGAAAAACAAGATTGAATAAATAATCACAGAAGTGGCCACTTTATAACAGAATGGTTAACATTGTTGAATGCAAACATGTTCCCAAAATCAGACATCTTGTTCTTAGTGTCCTGAAACGTTTACATTCTTATTTAAATCAGTACACCTATACCGATATTAGCATTCTTCTGACTAATGAGGAGATAATCCAGTTATTCGATTCACGAAGTTGGACTAAAACTTCCAAACATTTAACTTTTCCAAATCTAATATTACTCAATATCATATTTTTGCAACTGTTAAATATTAATTTGTGTGTACAATATCACAAATGATTCCATAGATGCAATATATTGTAGTTATATGTGAAGTAATATGCTTGGATTGATTTTAACAGGCCTTGATGGACACACAGCATATATTATTTTATTAGCCAAGATGCTAAATCTCAAAAAGACGGAAAAGTAAATTAGCCATGAAACCATGGGTTCATTGCTATCATTGTTGCATATTTGCCTAATATTGTTTAGCCCCAAAATCCCCTAAATTTCATGTTTTATTATAAGCTAAAAAGGATAAAATAGTAACTTTTCCGTATTCTGTACAGCCTTCTTATTATCTGCTGTAAGTCTCACTCTCACAACTTAAATGATCTTGTGTTACCTATTGTCCATTCTGAGTTCATCTTTAACACCTTGCTAGTACTTAGAGAGTGTTTTTCAAGGCACTTATTTATTGGACAGTCAGAGATTAAAGAAAAAAAAAGAACAAAGCTCAGATGTATAAACCAATGTGATTGGCTTGTTGTACAGGCTGCCTTCTGTGTGAACACTTGATACAGATGATCCTGCCTGGGGTGATTCATTAAAACTTCAAGATGATTGGGAAGAGGCGAAAGTTTAAGGAAATAAGCAACAATCTATTGATTGCAATGTTTATGTGTTTTAATGGCATGTTTTTTTTTTCTATACATTGATGCCTACAAGTGTAACTTGAAAGATTAGGTTACCAAGAGTACCAATGTTCAATTTACTTTTAATATGGAGGGAGCTGTCATATAGTCACTCCACCAGATGTTTTGGACATTTCTTCTTCATGTCATGGATTGCTTATTCTTAGCCAGTTTGACAGATCACACACAAAGGCTGAAGGAAAGCTAAGGAAATGTTTCCTTTGTTTTCATCCATTGACTGTGGTTAGGCTTGAGATGTATTCTACTTTATAAACTCACTAAATAGATACTAGTCCGTTTTCCACTTGACTTGATGGTCCTAAGTGACGTTAGCTTGGAATCAGCTGAGCGTCAGTGCAGTCATGATTATTATATTTTTTAAAGGATTATGAAAAAGGAACATTAAACGGAGCATCTCGCCAAATAACCTGGAGCACATTTACATAAAAAAGGTAGTAATTTGAGTAATAATTAAGTTTTAATTGCCTAGCAGTTGCAATAAACTGATTTATAATGATTTGGGAAAATTCAGCTAGCTACTAAGTAGGATTTTCAATACTGATTTGATATATGGCAGCCCCTTGTGACAGCTGGGAGGAAGACCTAGGCAACTATACTGTAAGTAGTTTTTTTCTTAGAAATATTTGTTAGTGTAATCTCATAAAGCAAACATTAAACTAGAAACTTTAGCTTTCTCTTCATCAGCCTCCTGCGGCTGCGTCTGTCTGTTCTGCTAATTAAAGCAGTACCCACAGATGATTAGAAACACATCCATCCACAGATATATAGGTGAGCTGATGGTTAGTAACAAACAACTGAATCTGCACTCAGTGGCATTTCTAGGTTTTCCTGTTTCCTCTCTGAAAGTGTTGGTCAGATGAGGAGGTCTGACGTCACCCTTAAGGGCATATTAGACTTCTGCAACCGCACACATCAACTGTCGCTTGGGTCTGGTCGCAAACCAGTTTTGCTAGTATGCTTCTGCACCGTCGGTCTGGAATTTCTAGGGACGCACAGCAGTTTCCTGCCAAAGTGCTAGGGGGACCCTATTCGAGAACTCGCGAGAACTTCGGTGGAGCTGGCGAGAATGTTTATCTTCCAAAACAACAATGAGGCGTCTGCAAGATATCAGATATAAGATGGATCTAGAGTTGCTAGACATCAAAGAGGAACAGGTTATGTTAATGGAGCGAACCTCCTCGATTAACCTTCCGTCATAGTTTTCCATTGTTCCTCGGTTTTAAAAAATGGCGCGCCCCGGTACAGAATCGAGAATGACAATCACACAGACAGCCAAAAAGGCATACCAAGGACCAATCACAGCTGCTTTTTGTCTGCAGACTTCCGCTTGAGGTCTGCGCGGGTTTATGAGCATCAGACGCGTAGTCAGGATTTTTTTTGAGGTTGCAGAAGCTCTGTGCAGGGGGCGTGGTTGCGCACAGAGACAGATTTGATGGTTGCAGAGGCTATGCGTCAGGAGCATAAATTGGCCTTTAGTCCCTAAGACCCAGTGTCCTGCATGTTTCCCTGCTTCAGCACACCTGGTTTCCATTGATGCTTGATAAACAACCTTTTACTGAACGGCAATCCTCTGATTTTGGTGTGCTAAAGCAGAGAGCTGCAGGACACTCTTGACTTTTTTGTATGTTGTCTTTAACTGATGCTGTAAAATTTAATACCCACAAAAAAGTGCCTCTAACTGGATTGATTTCCACTGTGTAGCAGCAGAGTCAAGCAGTGTTTCATTAGCTTTAACTGTAAAAACAACATTACCACACTTCAAACTACCACATTAACAGCTACACTGACCCTTAGAAGTGTCTGTAACTTTCATTGCATCTCAGTTAAATATATTCAAACTCAACATGCTTGTTCCTTGTGCACCTGATAATGGTTTTAATCTTAGCCTGTCTGTCCCTAATTCATCACTGAGACCTATCCATCAAATTCAGAGGAACAGATGCAGCATTTCCCAGGAAGATGAGGCATCGAGGCTTCAGCATTTCTGACATGACCTAGATAGTAAATTGAATCTTTTTGTGCGCTGATGAGAGAGATAAATATGACTGTGAAATCTGCAGCTCACAGCTGAGTAAAACGGCTTTTTGTGAGGAAACAGAAGATGCTGCTGGTTTCTTCAGTTTTGTCTCTCTCTCTCATTCTGGTGCAATATTCCTGGTTGAAGAAGCTCTTGACGAACTACTTACCTCTGTTTTTCCCAATCTACTAAATATTGGCTCTTCAGCCAACAAATGCACCAGGATTTATCCTGAAGCTGCCAACAGTGTAACATTTAGACATCATTTCCCGTCTTGACTAGAAAACACAGAAAAAAACAGTGTAATGTATTTTCATTTTTTCCTTTTTTAACATGTGAGATGGTCTTTTTATTCCATCGCATTAGTTGTATATTTATCATAAGGGAGTTACTAGAGTTAACAGTAATGTTTTATAGTAATGTATTTACATGTCTTCCTGATATCGTTAAACCATTAAAGTAACTTCAGTTATTGCATTCTCATGTCGGCAATTCTTATCAGTCAATTAAATATCAGCATGAAAAGCCTATGCTGAAGATTTTTTTTAGAAAATTGCTCAGGCAGTGTACATCCGTATCTCTCTAGTGTTTCCAGCTCATTTTTGTTTTAGATTTTTTAGTTATGAGCTTCTTTTGATTTTTTTATTTATTTATTTTTTTTCAATTGCTTTATTGGCAGAAAGAGAGGCTAACTTTGAATGTTTTAATGTATAAAAACATCAACAACAAAATGCTCCTTTGGGTCCCTTTTTATTTCTTTTTCTTTTTACTTATGGTGAAGGAAAATGTTTATTTTTTGCATATCTGACCGACTGCTCGAAGGTAACATCATTAACTGAGTAATCAGGTCTTGTATCCCTCGAATTGTTCGGATCCAGGTGGGTTAAACCTTAAGGTCATCCCCTTTTAATGAGGCTGTTTATTCAATTTGAGTGAGATTTTTTTAGGGCTGCAGCTATCATCTTTCTAACAGCTTAATGTGTTAGTCGTGATTATTTTATATATATAATCTAATCGCCAAAGGTGCTTTTAGGGGATATTATTGCTAGATCTGAACACAATGAATTTAGAATATGCTTCTTGAGGAGTTCTGGATGGAGCATGTTTACAGAAAGTATTTTTTAATGTAAAATGCAAAATATGTATTTGTTCAAGTCTGGCTTTTTTCTTCATAAATGACTTGTAGAGTCTATACTTCAATTAACTGTTAAACATTAAATTAGTTTAGAATATTTTGAATTATTCGTTGTTCAAAATTGACACCTAATTTTTTAGAGTATGACTTTTGGAATTGGGTATGATTCTGAATAAAGGGACATATGTGTTTTAGTCTGGTTGCAGAGCATCTACCTGCTCACCCAAATGTTTACTCAGAGTAAATAAAGCCAGGAATTAATTATTTTCCTCAGTGGCTTGTACTTTGACTTCTGTCCTTGCAGAGCTGGCTATGTTGACATGCCCTCTCTGTCTCTGTTTTTCCTCCTATTTTCTCCTTCCATGCTAAGTGGCTAAAAGCCAAGGTAAGTCTAGTCTGTTATATGACCCGTTTTATGGTTTAATAATTTACTCGTTAACCTCACCTCCACTTCAGATCCCTCTGACTGTGAGTAATGTTGTCTTTTCCCATGTTAACCAACCCATAGTCCTCCCTGTGGGGAAGAACATCCCATAGTACCCTGCCTGTCCCTGTACCAACTGTGTCATAATGTAGCTGTGATGTAGGACTTCTCCACCATAAATGTTTCTGTGCTAAACTAGTATTGGCACAACAGCCTGGTTTTAAATATTACATCAAATAATAGATTTGATTTTCTTTCATCAAAAAGCCAAACCAAATAGGAGCCAAGGTAATTGGTTAATTGGTTTTTGACTTCTGTGGACCCCCCACCAGTGTTACCCAGTGAATTATCCCTGTTTTTAAAGTCTTGGACATATTCACAGCCTTGGCTTTCAAACCTGGGCTGCAGTTCCGGTACATTTTTTTTTCTGCTCCCTTAAATAGACAAATGTGTCAGACTTACCAGAAATTTGAGACTGACATAAATACACACTTCCTAATGAAACCTTAAAATTGTCACTTCGTTCATCTAAAGAGGAAGTTGTCATTATTCAATAATGTTGCTCAATTTGATATCCGTGACCTTTTAGGTTACAAAATATGTTTTTTATTGGAGCATTTCTGGGAATCTGGGAAAAGGAGGTCAGATCAAGTTTACTAAAGCCTCTTTCCCACTGAAAATACCGGGTTAATGTTTGTTTTTCAAACATGGGTTAGCGGGTCGCTAACCATCGGCAAAAATGATCCGTGTCTTCAGACCTAGCGGGCAAGCTTCATTGCCTCTTTCCCCCCGCGGCAGCGTGTCCGCTTAACCCAGATCTGGTGTTTCCACACCGAGGCGATTTTAACGCAGGTCGCTTGCTAAGTCGTTTACCCAGGTAGACTCCAGCAGTGAGCTGTTCCCAAGGCCAATAAAAGCCGATTGATCGCAGGTTTTTTTTTTCATCCAGTGGGAAAGGAGCATAACTAATACTATGGATGCACATGTGTGGACTTTAGCTAGGTAAGAAATCATATAAAGGATCTCTGTATTCACACAAACATTTAAAAGAAAAATGTAAAACCGGGTTTAATTGATGTGATCTAAAAGATAAAGCTAATTATTACTCCTATTATGTAATCTTAGGCTTTTATTTTGAAAAGCCTTCAGTTTTAACATGAGCCGATATTTCTAAAGATTGAAACTTGTCTTTGTGAATGAGAGGAAAGTATAGATGCATCCTTTCAGCTAGCTAAACAGGTATTTATGGCAACATGTGGGGGAGGGGCAGCACCGTGTCCCGCCATGTTATATACAAACTTTCTGGAATCTTTTTCATTAAAAAAATGTTATACTTAAGTGGTTTTGAAGCTAAACTAAAGCATTAAAAGACCTTATGAACCCTGATTTTTGGCCTTGCCTTGTTAGTACACAGAAATGCACTAAATATTCCTCCTCAAATGTCCAAAACAATCAATAGGTAATCTGTGATGGTAGCATTCATCTGATTAAAGTTGATACCTTGCTGATGGAAGCTGACCTGAATCCATGTAATCGCAATGTACTAGCTTAGCACTATAACTGCTTTGGTGGAAAAAACAAAAATTCTCCCTGAATGTTTTGTAGATGAGGTAAATCTTACAGGCTTCTCAGATACACTCCAAACATGTTATTAATATTACCAAACCACACTGTTACAAGCTTGGGTGGGATTATGTGACCGCAGGATCATACGGAGTAAAATATGTCTCTATGGAGATGTCGTCTGAGCAGCCTGTAATGTTTTATTTCACTCACATAAGTACTCATCATCCAATTTTGGTTGCAGGAATCTGTTTGTAAAATGACTGAACTGTTTTGTTTTGTCTTCTTTAACCACAGCAACATGGAAACAATCAGGCAGCCAGAGCTGGAACCCTATCGAGGACCAATCCGCCGACACAGAAGCCGCCCAGTCCGCCGATGTCAGGGCGTGGCACGCTTGGGTAAGAAGCCCCGCTTTTAGTTCCCTCAGAGTACCACTAATCCTTTAATTACTGATTGGCCAATGAGTATAAATAGGAGCAATCTTCTGCAAAATTTCTTTTTTTTTTTTTTTTTTTTTTTTGCTATTTGTCGGGATCTTTTCTGTCTTAACGTTGAATAAACTTGTTTTCTCTGAAGAGTTCTCATCAGCACTAATCAGATATTTATCATGAAGCAGTTTGGTTCCAAAGGGAGAAACAGAGCTGATAAATCCATTTATGTCCTTCAGTGTTCTGACGGGTGGGAATAACCCAGCGGGCAGGACTCGCATCATTTGTCATTGGTTAGAATATGCGGTGATAATGTTTTTAAGAGTTTTATGACTCATATGAAGGACGTTTTTTTTTTTTTTTTAGGGTTTAACAATGATATGAGTCAGTGATTTGTCCTGTGATTATCATAGGGTTGCAGTAATCCATAGAGGCTCAAAAGACATATGTTCACCCTTCCAGGATGCAACGGATGGGATATGCTTGTTCGAATATGTTGCCCTGGCTTACCATGCTCTTGATCAACACCCATTCATGTCAGATTTTCAGCCATTGAGCCGTTGATTTGAGTTGCAGCTAACAAATTTGGAGGTAGTTAATTATCCTACCCATGTGGTGCTCCCCTCAGCATGATGCTACCACCACCATGATATTCATGAAGCTATTTTAAAAGCCTTTGGAGTAATTTTCCTGTTTGAATTGTCTATTTGTTGATTCTAGCTAAAGTACAACAACATGGAGCTCGCTGCCCAACCCCAGCAATAAGAGCTCAGCATGATGCTGCCACCACTATGCTTGGCAGAGAGTTATTGTGAGCAGCTCCAAATCTCAGTTGCACTTCGAGATGTTGATTTAGGAGCAGATGCTCTGGATTTTATTTGCATTGGCTTGAATTCAATTATACTTTATTAATTCCCGAA